CCGTTCACATTAGATATACTTAACGAAAAATAACAAGTTATATAACGACCCTATGTACCTCCAATGAAATGCTTGTGCTAATATTCAGATATTTATGTACATACATAAATACTATGTACTATCAATATAATATCCAGTATTATACAAATTATTACATCAAACATTATATGAAACATTGTATCTAACACTGTCTATATCTAATATTACATAAATTTTTATCTTAATCGCTACTCGAGTTATTATATCAACTCTTAGATAAACCATTATATCAAACGTACCCGGAGCCAACTTTGCGTGTAATGGACAGGTTAACAGTTAGTGGATTAGGGTGAAGGGTTTGTTGATGGAATCTGACTACGATTCCTAGTCGGAGATTGAATATAGGTTGCTTTTGTCGGTGATAACTGTGGTCGAACCAAAGGAAATAGCTCGAGGTCCGGAACGGTTTTCTTTGGAAACGTTCAATCCGGGTAAAGATTGATTTTCTGGCCCGGCCCGCTGTTGTCTCACCGGGCTTAATGAAGATTTAGCAGGTCGAAGATGTGGTTGAATAAATATTAATTATCCAGCTTCTATAAAGTACGTATAATTTCTTTTTTAGTCTGTTTATAAAGGGAAGATGAATTAATATTTTCTATCATGAATCTCTATCATGTACTTGCACATCTATGATACATATAGGATGGAGTTGTCTACACCAATTCACCTGAATAACTTCTACATTTCTTGAGATAGCAAGAGATGTTTTAAACAAAAGTTGTTTGGCTCGAAGGCCACACTACATGGTGTAAATAACTTTCCTGCAAGTTGAGGTGCTTAGGAGAGTTGAAGATCAACTTTGTTTCCTCAAATGGAATCGTGTATTTCTTTTATACATCAAACAATGCAACTAGACATTCATTATAAAAAAAAGTGCTGACCTATACATGTCAAGAAACTAGTAGTTTAGGAGATATTTCAATTTAAATAGTTCTAAAATTCGTATTGACAAATATGAAGCAGCATATTATCGCTGAGTGTTGCAAAATGTCAGCTGATACATTAAATAATATTGGAATAACTGATGAATATTTTCTATCTCAAAAATCAATCAAAATTTTTTTTATACAGATGTTATTTGTTCCCGCTCTCCCCCTTCTTGGTTACGATGGTGTATCTTTTCCTCTTTATTACAAGGAGATGCCCAATTTGTCTAAACGGTAGGAACAATTGTAAAATTAATTAAATAGATTCTATTTTCCCTTCCTGAATTTGATTCGTCCGAATGCAGTGAGCGTAGTCAAATAGAAAATTCTTTTCAATTTCAAATTTCGTTAGGACTAGAAATAACCATCATATTTTTATTTACGACTCAAAGCGAGGCCCTTGTATTTCAGTTTGCAAATAACATTACAGGCCCCGGTAAATGTTGAACTGTTTCGAGCGGTATTCACGCTTGCGAAAGCCGCAGGTCTGAGGTTACGGTTGCGCGTCTGTTACGGCAACTTACACGTGTCCGCACGCAGAGAGCGAGCGCCGTGCGAGCAGGTGGAATGCGCGCAAGGCACGTACTCACTTAGATATCTGGCCAACTGTTTAACTATGCTGCGGGTATATGTAGATATAGACCAGACTAGCTGAATGCCTGACACACGTTGCCAATAGTATATTGTTTATAAGCGTACTGTCCCAGACAGGAATATGAGAACACTTAAAGTGTTTCACAATCTCAATTCATACTAATAATTGTCTTAATCCAAAAATTTTAATGCAATGTTTCATATAATGGTTGATAGAATAATTGATGTAGCAACTGAAGTGCGTTATTAGATTAGTAAATATAAGATTTATGAAGAACAAATATACATATGTAAAATCTTAGTCGAATGAATTTCCTTATTTTTTTAAATTTCGCATGTACAGTTTGTACTTTATGTAGCTTGCTCCTGAGTGAGTTTAACAATCTTAACACCAACGAAGAAAAACTATAAATTGTTTACAAAGAGATACTTCAATAAAAAAAGAATTCTATCACTTTTCATTAAGACAAAAGTATTGCGAGTGAAGCCGCGACGAAGAATACTAGTATATGATACATGTATAGGAGAAAAATAGAATTAGCTGACGAGACACGCGTAATTGGGTCAGACATCGCGTAATTAATCAACGTAAATCGGGACGTTTGTCGTTGTGGTGTCTCCCATAATTCCTTGGATCAATAAACGGAGGTTTGCAAAGCGCCCGCCACGCGTACTGGATATTGATACTGACATTTCGACGTCGAGAGTCGTCCTGATAATCGATTCATCCCTTCATCTGTGACACGCTCCGTTAAAGAAGAATACGGCAAATCAACCACGTTGCCATCAAATCACGTTAACCAGAGACGATTCGATTGTCCACCGAATTTCATTCTCTGAAAGTTATGCTACTTTTTAAAATAAGACATTAGCATATGTTTTGAAAAATTGAAACGCGACCTTTTGAAAAACTGAAAATTACTAAAAATGTTCCATTAATTCTATAATATACTCTATTATAATTTAATTCTATTAAAGTTATGCCATATTTGAAATAAAACTGCAGAGTATCAATTTAAAAAATGCCAAAAGATCCATCAGAATTTTGTCTAAGTATTTCTTATAATCCTTCTAATCCTATTATTGAAATTTTTTATTTACCACAATGAAGGGTGTTCTGATCTTCCAAATACCACTACAATTACTATTATTTCAAAAATTAGAATATATAACATTTTAAGTCGACATTGCAAACGTTTTATACAATCTTATTGATTCACTTTGTGTAGCGTGGGTGGATCGTGTGTGTCGGGGTACTTGTGTGGCAACCGTTGCCAATTGCGAGCGGTGCGCGTACCAACGGGGCCTTTGCAATGCAAATCGTCCCTCCCTCACCCCGTACACGCGTAATACCTAACATTCGTCATTGTTAACATGACCCGCCGACCCCGCTCCGACATTACTAATCGCGAGTTAAACGTACCGGTTAAGGAAGATCAAGACGATAAGCCGTTACACTCTTGCCTAAGAAAAATAAATCGAACGGTAAAAAAAATACGACATCCACACTGTGCCTGATAAACACAAAGACGAATCTAAATCTGTGTCGCAAAATATATTTTGCGTAACTCAGTAAACTGCAAGCAAAATAATTTCTACCTCGTAAACAAAAGTAATGACTTTGCTACTTATGCACGGGTAGCTGACTATTAATTATGCAGAGAAGGCGGAATCCCGTTTCGTCGCAAACCTTGTCTATTTAACCGTTATTAAATTTTCTTACGATTCCGGAGGTATCCAGCCATCCCGAGGGAAGAATGAAATTTTTACAACAGAGAACGGGGGAGCCACGGTGCCTATTATTAAAAGGGATGAATCTCTTGAAACACGGCATCAAGTGTTTTCCGTCGTTAAGAATGGAGAGTAGAAGATCAGAGAAAAACAAGCGAGCGCAATTACGACCTCCGTTTCCTACCCGTAAGCTGGCAACGAAAAGAGTACGCAAGAAACGTTTTTACCTCTTCCAGCGCTGCCTTATCTTTTCCGAGGCGGGGGACATAATACCTACAACGCGAGGCTTAATGAGACCAGCAGTAGTTCAACGAGACATTAAATCGGCGTCTAGCCGGCTAACGATTCGCTTTTTTTGTTATATTCGTCCCGCCAGAGTCGAAATAAATCCAATTGTCTCATCGTATACTAAGTCATTAAATAAATCATGTAGTCTAATCATATATTCTGATTATATAATAAATTATACAGTTTAATCATATAATAGATCAATAAATAAATCATTATTTAAGGCAGTTGACTTTTAACTTCATAATAATTGAAATACAATCCATATAGAGCATATCAAGTTAATTATCAAAACTGATAATGTAAAATTGGATGCTTCATTATTTTATTTTATGCTCCAAGCTACTAAAATAGTATATTTTCTTTTGTATTTCAGAAACTTAAAATGAATATATTACATACAGAGCGCTGTTTTATTTAAATCAAATAAAACCTGTAATATTAAATAATATTTATTTTCCACTACTTTTATAGTTCTGGCAAATGAAAATAATCGTTTGCATAGGTCGCAGCAAAGAGGACGTTTGTTATCGGGTATTAGAATTTATTAACGGGGAAACTCGACCGTTCAATGCCAAAGTCGGACCGCAACTCTGTCCAAATATGATTTCACGTGTTAAAGTCGGAGCACTTCATTAAGAAATTCTGCGTGGCCGGTACCTACCCACACAGACGTACATACATATATACCAGTAACCGTGACTTAGGCGGGTTGGAAACGGGGCAAACATTAACAGAACAAAGTGTACTTTGGGAAACGCGCTCCTCCCGAAACGGGGCTAAAGTCGTCCAAAAGGGAACCGGGTAATCTTACTGTTTGCGCAAAAGAAAAATATTCTCGTTTATGCTTCCGACAGTGGCCGATTAGAATTTCCATACTGGTATTAAACCTCTTAAGACTAAAGGCAATAGTAGCAATTATTAGATTGCAGAGTTCTAGGCAAATTCATATTTTAATGTTTGTGTATTTGAAAGTATTTTTTACATTTATTAAAATTGTACCAATTCTATACATTGATTCTTCATAAGAAAACAGACTGCGTTTATTCGCTCCATTAAAACCCTTTTAACGTAATTGTATTTGAAATGTATTATCCACTGTAGGAATTACTTGTACTGTAACTATGGTTAATTGATTGTTCATAATAATTATAAATCTTACAATTTTCAAAACGTCGAAACATTTTCGATTGCGAGGATTTATTTATGCTTTATTACACCGATAACAAAGATTGGTTTATCTGTTAGATAGATCCCTCGTTCTCCTTGAAGACTTTAAAAAAATTCACGGTGTTGGAGAATAGGATTGCACGTTGATAATTTTCATAGAAGATTCGACATTGATGTTATCTCGGGATAATAATCCGGCACAAAATAAATTGCGGGTGTAGTGGATTCGATTATTACGAAATTATTACTTACACATGTTTGCAGTCATACTATGAACAAATCCTGTCTTGACGTACCTGAAAATAAAAGACCAGTCATTATTAGAAACTAATGGACAGAAAATTATTATTATTATTAGCATTTTTATTATGATGAGATATGATCCCTAGCATAGTCTTTTTACATTACACTTATGTATGTAACTCATTATTTAATAATTAGCAAAAATAAATCGTTCTGCTGGGAGACACTCTAGTCTATCATAAATTAGAGTCTATCTTTGTTATTTCAGTCAAAGGGCCTCTGGCCATATCCCGGCTCTTAAAGGCTGTGGTAATAAACACATTGCAGACCCAGGCCGTTATGTTTTTTCCAACTCTAAGCACCAGATTTTCGTCGTGCATTTTTTTCAGTTAGTCTCGTCCAGAGTGTCGAGGTATTAAGAGTTTCGAGTCATATAATAAAATAGTATTATACATAAAATATACTGAGTATTTATTGAATAATCACATATTCCAATATTAATATTTAATAATATATTTTCTTGTCTTGTTAAACGCCTATAGATTAATTACTTAATAAAATTATATTACATACTATATCGTATAAATAAATCAACATTTGAATATGAAAGATTTGACTGATTACCGACTAACGCAAGTGATTTTTCTTAGCAAGCGTCATAATAAATCAGCGAGAAATAGTACACGAAGAGATAAGGGTTGATACACGACCACGAGTCTATCGCTTCGCAGAAACGGACTGCGTTTAGCTAATGAAGCATGCCCGCCGATATACAATGGCCAATAAAAGACAGACGGGGAGAGAACACGAGTCGGCGATGATAACAATCGAGTAAGTCATATTTATCGTGTCGGCATGTCTCTAAACGCGGCCGATCGACGGATCGCAGATATAAACTATGATATCATCCAGATAGCAAGATTTCAGATGGAACTCATCGATGCTATCTCTAACGAGTGCTAACGTGGTCCGATGTATACGGCTTAAAGCTATTAAATGATAAGGAACTTAATCCGTCTCTCTTTAAAACACTTCTTGTTATACTATATGAAATAAGTACAAACTTACGTCTACTATCCTTTGCTCGTTTGTTACTAAAACCCAAACAGTTATGCGAAATACATTAATTATTATTATATCAACTATTGTATAACATGTTGCATCAATCACTGTTTGAAGCATTGTATCAATTACTATAGGAATTATTGTATTAATTGTTACATGAATTATTATAACGCACTGAATCTGATGTCGTGTTGCCACGCGATTTATCAACACTCGAGCCACGGATAGCCTCTCGTAGCACTGCAGAGTTGCAGAACTGCCCTTGAAACTAGGGTGAACCCCCCTTTACGTATCGGGCCTCAGGTCGATGTTTATTACCGCGTGCTCCCTACTCGGAACGACGTATCTTGTTAAGGGAGACCCACGGAATGATGATTCACCCGAGCATCGACCACCCTCTTCGAAAAGGGTGGGTTCACCCTTCGATGTCGAACGGAAGGCAATCGCTACCCCTGCCGATGGTTTGGATAGCCTCGTCTTGGCTCCGATCTTCTTTTCACCCTCCGCTTTTCGTCTCGGTATTTGAATTCAGCTGAAGATCGTTTTGGAGAACATTTTAGATAGCTATTCGACATGAGTTTTAAATAATAGTTCTTGAATTCAATTGTTGTCTGTTCGAAGTGGAAGACTAAACAAGTCAAACGTAGACGCCACAGAGAAAAACTGTCGTCCCCTTATACCTACGCACATTAATAAGACCTTATCGTTATGGTCTCCAACTGTAGTACTCTCAACTGTGTAACTGAAGACTAATATGGTTTCCTCACTATCTTCGTTCCAAGAATTACTTAGCACATTCAGCCACTTTTGCTTACATAGTATAAATAATATGTCAACAATAATAAAACAGAAAAATTGAATGAAATATAAGGACAGCACGTAGTCTATATTATAGATTAAATTCTGGTTAATAATCAAAGTAATAATTGGCGTGAGAATTAAGTATAAACAAAGAATCAACAAATTCACGAACTACTCTGAAGTAAAACGAAGTTTTAGTCCTAGGACCCTCTCTCCCTGACAACAAGGCCTTCGCACTATTTTATGGTACTTCGAACTTAGATTCGTTTTCCTCCTAAAGAGTCCTGCATCGAAGGGACACAGTGGTTTACATTAAATTTCCTCTATTTCCTAATTTTATACAATATATTCTGTATGGCGTGACTGAGCGTATATTGCAATACGTGAATGATCAAAGAAATATCTACATTATACATATAGTAAAACGCATTAATATCGCGAATGTTTTATTTCGCATAAAAAGTCGCAGTCTACTCGTGTGCGAGAATAATTGAGAATTAATTGTCCTTAACCCCTGCCCCGTCGTTTCGACAGAAATCTTGGTCTCGCGTTACCGAAGCGCTTTATTCCTTGAAAACGCATCTGGTTCTCTGTTAACCGGGGAAAGGAACGCGTGCAGCGCATTATAATATAAAGTTGACGCGGGAATCGAACAAAACGCTTTTGTTGCGAGCTCGAACAAAAACGCGGCGTATAGAGTAACGCGATGCAACGCGTGTATACGCGAAAGAACGGGAGACAGAGCGAGAAAGAGAGAGAGCAGTTCGCCAACCGCAAAGTATATAAAGCGGAAACCATACACCATTCAACGAGAGTCGCATTGCCGTTGCTGCAACCGTGTGCACAACACGTCTTAAAATTGTGTCGACATTCCCTTGGTTCTACAAAATTATTAACGAATTATACCTGATTTTATGTACTACTTTAGTAAACAAAGTGAAAATTGATATTCATAACATTATAGATACATTATAGAGGATTTTATATCATATCATGCAATATATCATATATTATACAGGGTGTTCCAGAATGTACAACTTTCCTTGAGGAATATGAAAGAGGATGAAATTCTGAGTCGAAAATTCCTTTCCCATTTTTTTCTCCACTGCTGTTAACAAAGTTATTAACGAAAAGGGTGGTCCCTCAGAGAACAGTCGTTCATTCTGGGAACCATGTATTATATCAGACTTTATATCATATATATACCATCCAATCATCCATCATGTATTATATTGACTGTATTAATCAAAGCGAAGTTGATCAAGGGATTCTAATTCAAACCAAGTAATTCAGTCTGAAAGTTGTGTAGGCCTAATTCTAACTGGCTGGCATGCTGCTAGCATCAGAGAATCGGTACCCAGATGCGTTCTATCAATTACAATTGCACGGTCCCTGGGGAAATTCGAACGAACGGAACCAAGGACGATAGGAACTACGATGTGGGACGTGAAATAATCAAACTGCTCCTAGCATTAGTTTACTCTGATCAGTGTCAAGATTTACGTGCAAATTTTGATCTCAATATTCAGGGTGAACTGATATGAAATTGTATGCTTCGATTTTATTATAGAACCTTGGGAAATGGATTTTGGTTTGATGAAATAAAAGAATCTGTTCAATCAATTAACACTGTTTTATGGTACGTGAGTGGGAAATTTAATTTTAAATCAGTAAATAATTATTCTTAACCCACTCTTTAACTGGCAGCCATTTAATTCCCTCCAGCCATACCCACAATACCCATATTGCGGAGTTAAATTGTCGACAACATTTACATATACAAATTTTTGAATAAGTATTCATATTTATCTTTATTAGTTGAAATTTTTTGAACCAGGCAAGTAGTGTTAAAAATGTTTCACGACACGTCGAAGATTCGCGAATGGGTCAAGTCTCTCTGTTTGAAAACGATTTGACGTCTGATTTTTTTTTAAAAAATGCGTTTCTAAAGTGCATAAACTTTTGGGATTGACTGTATAGCCAATACATCCTTAAATCCTATATGAAATGATAAAGATCTGTATCATATGAATTTGCATGTGATTAAATACATGAAGAAAATAAAGTTTAGTATCAAAATCCGTGCATTCGAATCGAGTTTGCGGACAAACGCCGGGAAGCGTCGTTGGGTGTAAGAGAGCGCAATTAAGACGTTTCTGGGAGGGAAACAATCTCGACTCGGCTAACGACAACGACAACAACAACGACAACGGGAACAAGGTTGTTTCGTTAAAAGGTGGCATTACCACCCGGGTAGAAAGTTTGAGACAGAACGTGAAGAACATACGGAAGCCCGGAACCGGCGAACGGTTTGTCATCTGGCTCTCTCCAACTGCGGAGCAACAAGAGTCTGGCAGTCTAGCGTGGCAGGACAGTCCAGGCCAACTTCCTCGTCTCCTTCCAGACGTAAGTTCTACTCGAGAGCAACGTGAATATAAATGAGACTAACGAGCTCTCTGTGATGTCGGTAATGACGCTAGATTGCCGTCGGAACACAACCGAACGTTGGATTTCACCGTTACTGTTGTCACGACTCGCGAGTTCTACACGTTATCGATGACCGTCTAATATTAGCAAAACCGAACCCAATCAGAAGAGCTTCCTTCATAGATACACTCCTGTTCACTTGAACAGCCCAAATTAATGAATAAGCGAACGGTATCTGAATTTTATAAATATATATTATATTAATCATTATAATATGAAACACTGTACAGTGGTCTCAACTCTTGAAAAGCTGGCAATGTGAAAACTGAATTTTCCGATTAGCGTACTTTAACATGTAAGTTATGTACTCAGGTAATATACCTATGTAATAACCGTGTTGAGAAAGTTTTGTGCCTTATACCTGGCAAAGAAATGCAGTGCAAATGTCACTTTCATTCGTCATGCAATTTTCATGGTGTGAATTACGGTCTCGTTTAAAACATTGTGAAGTCTGTGATTTTAAGGAAATTAAATAAATTTAATTTGTGCACAATGGGTGCTGTTCCTGGAAGTAAGTGCAATGTAAAATAATACGTATAATCTTATTAAAATAATCTTAATTAACGCTTTGGAGGAAATTCTAGCATATGTAATCTGAATAAAATAACATAAATATGTAAATATACATTATATGTAGATATGTAAAATTATGAAACATAGAATTGTTGTAAATCTAGTGTTGTAGATCTGTCGCGAAGCA